CCGCGATTCCCCGTTGTCTTTGCCAGGTGTCGGTTGCTATCGCTCGGATAATAATCACATTAACTTCTCCAGATAATCACATTAAATTTAAGAGCTCGCCTGTTAATGCTCCTTTTGATTTTTTATGAGTCAATAAGACTTCACTTCACTCCAGTTCACTTCACTCCCAATCACGCCTTTAATGATGGCAAAAGGGGAGTTAGGGAAGGGATTGTCAGCTATGTACCGTACCTTATACTGAGCACCTGGCCAAGTGCTTACCAAAAGGGCTTACCTACTCCTGGATATCAGCCAAGTAGCTCAGGCATTAGATTAATTACCGATTAGTGGTGGAATAATTAAGCTGTTTAATTGCCTTGACCCAAATGGGTTTCAGTCAGGTGAAGTCCTTTTAAGTGCGCTTCAGGATTTGCTTCCTGATGGGCAGGCCAAACGATGGGAGTCGTTTATGTTGGAATTCCCAGAAATATAATAAATAAATAAGAAATAAATAATACTACACAGAGGTTCATTAAAAGCTAAATGGTCTTACAAATAGTTTTTCTAAATGAGAAAGTTTTTTGTTTTGCCATTAAATCATGGTTATGGCTTCTTTAATTAACATTTTTTCCTATTTTAGGCAATCAAATTTAATAGATATTTTCAAAATACTTCTTAAAGACCAAAAGATGATAATTAACTCTTTTCCTATAAAGTTTAAAACTCATTTACTCATTTCATAACTATTAACGAGTCTAGCTGGGAATTTACATTTTTAATTGAAGAACAAAAATCGGGTAACGAAGCTTAAAGGAAGAGAGGCTTAAATTGTGTATTTCCATTGCCGAAGGCCAAGGCCAAGGCAAACGCCATAAATGTAATGCGTTTCTTTTATGGGCTTTGTCATAGAAATCCAACAACAGTTGGCAACATAATTTATGCACCGCAGACCGCCTTCCGGCGCGGAATTTATGGTCTTGACCAGAGGATAGCATCCATTGGGGCTCAGGCTCTGTCGAGGTGATAATGTAAGAGAATGGGGGGGCATGGATCTGTGCTGCAGGCTGGTAATAACTATAAGAAGAGCTACAGCCTCACGTTATAAAGACCAGAACGACGACCAGACCAAAGACCAAAGACCAAGGCAAATAAATTGCAGCTGCTCGACCGGGGCGATGAAATACAAATAGAAATACTTCGAAGCTACTGGGCGTTGGTTGTTGGATGAAGTTGCCACAGAGTTAGTTGGTATCATTGGTGGTGGCGGGGCAACGGGAGGGGAATCACACTGTCAGTCGCAGTCACTTCACATGTCCTTTGGCTTGTTTGTCTTACACTCTGACGCTCCGTGGATCGCAACCGAGTGAAGTAAAGTTGTTTGGCCAGACAAGACTTGGCCAAATGTCGGGCCAACGCAGTCGAGCACGAATCATGACCATTTGGGCATAAAAATTACCTTTCCTTAGCCAATTGTTCACTGAAAGAAAAACTAGGTGACTTAAAAGAACAATTTTAAATTAATAATAAATCAGTTTATTTGTAAATTTCCAAATCTTATTTTTTAAAGATAAATCTATATAAATTTTAAATATATTTTTCCAAAACAAATTTCTGATTTTCAACTTTTTTCACAGCGTAGCATCTTTTCAGACTTCTCTGAGTCTCAGATTCTCAACTCAGCACTCGAATAGCCTCCGATTTAATCAACCTCGCCGACTAACATATAATTTTGTGAATTGCAAGTTTCATGATAGGGACAATGGGCTTGTAGTTCCCAGGCTCAATAGTACATATTCTCCCTTTTGAAAGCAGGCCAGCAAATTGAATCCGCTTGGGTTATGATGTGCTTGCCTTTGGCTTAGATAAATTCCAGACTCACTGGCTTCGTATGCAGATTGAAATGGCAGAGCCCATTAGAAGTCGACACAAGCCTTTTCTCCTCTTCCCCCGAAAAATCCACGCGGTAATGACCCTAAATCAGCATCAGCTTCTAGGCCAATGCCCCAACCAAATGTCATCATCGGCCGCGGGCCGCCTTCCCAACGCATAACCCCATCCCTTGGATCGTAATAAAAATGTCGTCTGACTTTCGATGGGGGTTGTCTACGTCTCTGGGGTTCTCTGGGTCCCTCTGTCTGGGGTTTAATGCACAACATATTCATGTGTCAAAAGACAATTTCGGATTTATGGCCTGCGAAATCCCCTCCCACCGAGCAGCCAGCGAATGACGCAATGTGGGCGAACAACCAAACCAGCCAACCAACAACGACAAAAAATATGTTAAGAAAGCATAAAATGATATCCAAACTACCCACTATGATCTGGTCTGGGTTTCAGTCTGGTCCGTTTGGAAATCTCGCTCATGTCTGCCTTGGGTTTGCATAAATTAGGATCTGGACGGGTTGCTGAAAGGAAAAGGAAGTTTTGGGCGGGGAAAATATTCAGTTGGTAGCGCAAAAAATGGCTATTTTCTTTTTTTTTTTTATTTTTCGTTTTACCATATTCCCTGCGTGTGTGTGGAAGAGTTTTCCTTTTTTGGTTGATGCGTTTGCTATGGCATTTTTAGGGTTGTAATTGAAATTAAATAGATGTCGTGCCATGAATTCAAATCGACATCTCTTTTTGGGTCTTAAAGATTTAAAGATGTAGACAAATTTTAGGTTTATCTTTAACTCCCTTTACTTTCTTTTCTACAAAAATTAAATTTTTGTTAAGAAATTTGGAGAATTTCTCAGCTAAATAGTAAAAAATAGTCTTAAGGAAAACTGTTAGCTGAATTGCATTCATCTTTTTCCCTTCACTCCAGCAGAAATGGCTGTAGTTAAACTGAACTCTTTTCCCTCCTGTTTTTTTTTCATGTCTTTTATCAACACCCAGCGAGAAAAGCAATTGCTTTTCCTCCCCTTGCAGACATACATATTTCCTGCACTTGGGTAACTATTTTCGCACAGCTTGAACAACTTTTACTTTTCTCCGAGCTCTGAATTTATGTGTCACTGGCACTGGAAGTGGAAGTGGTAGTGGAAGTTTTTGGGCGCCGTCGTCTCCTAGGATTCTCCCCTTCGTCCTCTTTCTCCCCTTGATTGATGTTGGCCAAATCGATTTTCCTTCAAGGCACCTGACATCCCCAACATCTCAGCATCCCAGCATCCCCCACATCCACAGCATCGACTTCATTTGTTGGGCAATCAGGTCTAATTAGCACCAGACCAAGTTGAAATGCAAAACGCGTAGCGAGGGATGTTTAAGGGGTTGTGGGCGATGGGTTGCTCAAAGTAAATTGCTATTACTTGTCTATAATTGTATTAAGAGTTGGGGGAAGGGGGGAGGAAGGTTGAAAAGTTTTACAGCTGCGGAATTTTAATTGTAATTGTTTTCAAAGTTTAATGCTAGAATGAGTGACTGATAGGAATTAAAGGAAAAACAAAAACTTAAGTTCTATATTTTAAATGGTGGTTTTGTTAAGTAAGTTAATATCATAAATTCATAAAGAAAGGCTTAAAATAGCCCCATTTAAGCTCTTATCGTTGCATTTTTTTCAGTTAACATTTCCATTTCTTTTTCTGTTTAATGAGCTGCACCTCACATGTCTCCGGACCATTAACCCTTTGACCCCTCACCGCGTCGGCTGGTTTGCACTTATCACAAGCTCTCTATCTGGCTTAGCTTCGGGTTCATTATGCGACAGTTTCTCATATCTACCCTTAGACCTCGAATTCTCTTCTCCCCTTTCTCCTTTCCCCTTTCCCCGCCCTCTCAGCTCGATTCACAGGGCTTACTAATTACATTTTCAAAGTGCAAACGAAGCATGCGAGCAGCGAAGGGGGTTTGTCTGGGGGTTTGCCCCACTAATTAGTACGATATATATATATATGTTTATAATGCGGACCTCTGGTTCCCGGTGGCATGAATAGACCGTGGAATAAGTGGCATAAATTAAAATAAAACGTACAAGTATGAAATGTAACTGCGGCCGGGAGACGACTGCGATAAAAATCTAAAATAAACACGCTGCAGCAGCAACATGCAACGCACACACAACCAGCGTCAGCAACAGCAACATCAGCATTAATTAAGCATGAACATTTAACCTGCCCACACAGCCACGCCCCATTTTCATTTCACATCAAGAGGGAGTCGCGTGTCTTGGCCAAGGGTCTACGTTAAGTTTTTTTTATATAATTTGATTGATTTATTGTGTATCCCATGGCCATGGCGCCTCGCAGATGCATTAAGAAGGGGGATGGCCCATTCCTTTTTTGTATAAACGCATGGCTAATTTAATTAAAAATGCATTGTCGGACAGGTAACAGTTGCAGGTTTAAGCACACGGCCTGTCAAAACTATCAGATCAATTTACGGATAACGATAAACGGAGGGGTGAAAAATATGGACAGGTGCCAGCAGGTGTGACATGGGAATGCCCTTTTTAGCTGGAAAATTTGAAATTCTCCTTACAGGCTCAATGTCTTTAAGTCCGTCCATCATTCCCTCATTGTTAGCCAACTTATTTGTTGATTGTCTTTAGAAAAGAAAGCAAGAAGGCGGGCAAAAAAAAAATGACAATCACTTTAGGAGCGTACAGCATGCCATTTAACTCCTTCAATATGTCACTAAAGTGTCTCGAAGGACAGATACTTTCCGAGGCCCGATCCAGTTCGAAGAAAATCAATTTTCCACGCCCTCAATGAGCAGAAGAAAACTGTTATCCCTTGTGATTGATTATGCAGTCGGGTCGAGTGACTGAGCGAAAAGTTTTTCTCCAATTCACATGGCCCACAAAAATATATCATTAATTTCGCCTCGACTGGTTGGGTTTATCATTGGCATGAGGGTTTAGGTGATGTGCAACAAGCAATGCACCTACAAAAAATGGTCTAAGTTTAGTATTTTTCCTGCTGTTTTACTTATTAATTATTAATTTAATTAATATTTATGTTTAATAATAAATACAAATATATATTTTCCAAGTTTTTCAAAGTGTACTAAACATTTTTACCCTTTTTTCGGTCCATTTGCAGGAGTCTCAGCTGAACTCTACTACGTGCGTGAGGGTGCCATTAACGACTATGCCTTGAACTTTGCCGTTCCTGTGCCGGCTAACATTAGCGACGTGACCTTTACATGGCAATCGCTGGTGGATCACCCGTTGCCCTACAGCATCAATATCGCCACTTCGGATACAGAGGTCTTGCCCAGACCAATCTTAAATATATCTCGTATCGGGGATGTGCCCATGGAACCGCAGACATGGGGCATTGCCCTGAAGTGCTCCGGGACCAGGAATGCCGAAGTTACGGTCACCATTAACGTGGAGGTGATCCTAGATCGAGCGACCAACAACAACACGAATCTGATCTTTAAGAGGAAAAAGATTTGCTTAAGGGAAGAGCAGGATAGTGCTCATGAGGAGTATGATGACGATGATGTGGATTTGTTGCAAACTGCAAGAAAGGGACATGGTAGCGATATTCACTATGTGGATCGTAATGATGATCATTTGGTTGCCAATGGACACCTGTCGCCAGAGAAGGAGAAGCGTCCTATTGTCACAGAGTCCCCAATCGGACGAGGAAATTCCGGAGGATCTAAAAGGGACTTTGATCCTATGTTAAGGGAAAACCTTGTTCCTCCAGCTAGTGGCTTGGTTACTCTTATAGTCGGTGGTATTCTGGCTCTGGTCCTGGTCTCCACCCTCATACTGATAGCCTACTGTGCCAAGGGTCCCTCTAAGCGACATCCATCGAACGGAGTGCATTTAATTAAGACCTCCAGCTTCCAGAGACTGCCCACCATTTCGTCGACTGCCCACAATTCCATATATGTTTGCCCATCGACCATCACACCCACATATGCCACACTGACGCGGCCCTTTCGCGAATATGAGCATGAGCCTGAGGAGTTCAACCGCCGTCTCCAAGAGCTGACAGTCCAAAAGTGCCGCGTCCGTCTCTCCTGTCTCGTCCAGGAGGGTAACTTTGGGCGAATCTATCGCGGTACTTATAACGACTGCCAGGAGGTATTGGTCAAGACTGTGGCTCAGCACGCCAGCCAGTTGCAAGTGAATCTGCTGCTGCAGGAGTCCATGATGCTGTACGAAGCCTCGCATCCGAATATCCTATCCGTTTTGGGCATTTCCATTGAGGACTATGCCACGCCCTTTGTGCTCTATGCCGCCACCGGAAGTGTCAGGAATTTGAAGAGCTTCCTGCAGGATCCGTCGTATGCCAGAAGTGTAACCACAATCCAGACAGTGTTAATGGGTTCTCAACTGGCCATGGCCATGGAGCATCTGCACAACCACGGTGTGATTCACAAGGACATAGCAGCCAGAAACTGTGTGTAAGTATTACTACGAAATGGGGAAAAGACACCCATAGAAGGGTGGATATTTTGTGAATAAAAACTGAGATGGTTTATCTAAGAAAAAGTTCTTCAAAATGTTCTGAAAGCTATTTATAAAGATTTAAATTTTAATTTAATTTGAAATTTATCTTTGTTCTTTTTCCAGAATTGATGATCAGCTGCGTGTTAAACTCACAGATAGTGCTCTTAGTCGTGATCTCTTCCCTGGTGACTATAACTCTCTGGGTGATGGCGAGTACCGACCCATTAAGTGGCTCTCCTTGGAGGCACTACAAAAGTCGCATTACAACGAAGGCAGTGATGTTTGGTCCTTCGGCGTTCTTATGTGGGAAATGTGCACTTTGGGTAAACTGCCTTACGCCGAGATCGATCCCTATGAGATGGAGCATTATCTGAAGGATGGCTATAGATTAGCTCAGCCTTTCAACTGCCCTGACGAGCTGTAAGTACTTCAAAGTTTTTATTTTTAAATATTTTTCATTTTAATTTGAAGAAACCTTTTAACCCTCTATAAACTTTATATTAACAACAAGTTCCCCTTGCTAATGTTAACCTCTCTCTCTCATTTACAGCTTTACCATTATGGCTTATTGCTGGGCCTCCATGCCGGCCGAACGGCCCTCGTTCAGCCAGCTGCAGATCTGTCTATCAGAGTTCCACACCCAGATTACCAGATATGTTTAACCAGCGGTGCTGAAGCATGCCAAGACCTGTAAATATAACAAGAGGCGACGTCGCAAGATTTTCCAGCAGACCACGTCGTCCACTCTGTTCCCAAAGACATATTAAATGGTAGCTATTGGGATTATTAGGATATCCCCAGGAGTATATGAATGACTTATGAGAAAACATGGATAGGATCGTAAGAGGGTGAAACGGCCTGAAAACTTCTAACCACATAACTTTTAGTTATATATATTTAGATCGTAAGGACATGTGACATTTCAATGCAAGAATTAGGATTATAAAAATAACAAAAAAAAACCCCTGTTAAGACACAAACACACGTTCTCTCGCTAAGATGAGCTAAAGCCCAGTAAAATTGTATCCTAAGAACACCCCTGAAGACTCCAACATAAAATAAAGAGAAATAGCAAAAATATTGATATATACTAATCTTAGCTAAAGCAGATCCATTAAAATCAGAATCCCTCAAGAAAAAAAAAACCAGTGCTAGGATAGGTTCCCAAGAAAAATATGTCGTAGTTTGAAAGAGAGCGTTGCAAGTTTGTCATTATAATGGGATACGAATACGATACCGAAAACATATATCTATGTAAATGTATTCACGTGTGTGTTTATGTCTAAGAACCGTAGTGCTAGTAAGAACTCGAAATATTTATCTAATGTTAGTGCACAAGCAACCCAAAAACCCTTAACCCTAAGTTACCCCCCCTTACAGTATCGAGTTGTAAGTTTTTTGTGTAATATACTTAAGCAGTTTGCATTAGTTCTTAAGTTAACTCTTATGGTTTTCTATGGCAAAGACACAAAAGAAAAACGATTTCAATAAACGTCCGTGCATAATATTTAAAAAACAAAAAAACTAAATGGTGGCTTTTTCTTCAAGTGGCCGAAAGGGAAATGGAAAAGGCAATGCCATGTGGAGGCTTCTGGTGGTTAGAGCATTCTCATTGAGACCGGCCACGCCCGTCACTTAGCCTAAAACAACGCACTCTAAGAGCAATGTGTTGTTTGGTTACCACCTCCGCAGTCCCCTAACCACCAGCGAACCCTACTCCCCAACCCCGTGAATCTAACCAAGCCCAACGCAGCCGAACCAATCTCTTTGCTACACTAAAGGCATGTAATGCCAACTGCCTATTTGAGAGACGGCGATACCTCTACCTTCAGCTACAGGTGTCACTCGATAATGGATACCATGGGTTTTGTGCAATTTATCTTGAAAAGAAAACTACACAACGTTTGGCTAACGTTTGTTGGAATAAAAAGTAAGTAAGGAAAATCCTCTCTAGTCAGCAAACACTGTACATAAGGTCCTTCCCAGCACACCTGCACGTGAATTGTAAAGAGGCTAGGAGCAGGACCAGGTCATGGCATGCCTTTTGATTGCCATGCTGACACTACTTAGTTTTTGGCACGTCATGCTGGGGACATGATGTTGGCAGCGTCCTTTTTAATATGCCCGTCACACCATCAACGAGGGAAGACTAGTTTTTGGTCCCGCCCCTGGGCTCGCCTCCACCACCTCTATAGATCCTTTAAAAACCGCTCCGAGTGGGCTGCTCGTTTGGCACGTGCCCACAGCCGAGGCATTTAGCTAAAGCCACTACGCAAATCGAAAGCTAATAAGTACGAGACCATCAAGGACTCGAATCCTCCACAAAAGTGGCTTAGACAAAGTCACAAGTCTCTGGGTTTAAGCATAAATTCAGTTCATTTTAAAAAGTGTTCTTTATGTTATTTAATTTATGGTGGTTTTAACCTTATTAAAGAATATTTCTTAACCAGAAATTCTCTTTTTTTCAGTATAAAACCGATAAAAATGTCACCAAAAAATACTTTGTGGCCAATCTGGAAGGCAGGGAAATCAAACAAAAAACTTTTTACTAACTCTTAAAAGTTGAAAACTTCAAAGTGATATCGATGAAAGAGCAGCGAACTCGTGACTCGAGTGACACCGATGAAAAAAGGGATTCCCTTTGACTTTCGAAACAAATTGCCAACCGTCAGTTAATATCCATAAAAATCGCCTTGCGGTCTACAAAGATTTATAGAGAGTCAAAAGAGGAAAGCCAATCAAAGGGCTCAAAATCGGTAAACTCGAATAGTTGCGTTTCAATCAAATTAAACTACACAAACCCCAACGGTGTGGGGAGGTTGGCGTTGAGCGAACAAGAATATTAAGTTATTAAAAACTGGTAAAACTGTAAGGCATCCTGGCCAAATAAATGGATGCCACTGTACGCTGCACGCAACCACCACTGTGAAACGTCAAAGAGGTCGCAGTGAAACCGAAGCCCAGAAAATGTTCGGAAAAAGGAAACCATCGCAAAAGTGAGTGCGGTTGGCAGGGGGGGAAAAAAAAACTTGAAATTGAAAAACAAAAGCCAACTGAAACTTTGTTTTCGGTCAACACTCTAAGCCAAAAATCAACAAATATAAAAAATTTCGTGGCACGTGAGGCAGCATTTCAATTTTTTAGCGTGCTGAAAAACTTTTTTTATTTCCACCGGCTATGGGGAAACCCCCCACCATCCATACCATAAAACACCAGCAACAACCGGTGAGCGGAAAATGTGAAAAACGGCGGGAAAACAAGAGTGAGTGAGAGTGGGGCGACATTTCGGTCGTCATTCAGCGAGAGTGGAGTGGAGTCCGTTGGGTGCCATTTGGGATGCCCCATCGGCCATGCCCCATTCTGGATCCTGCCACCGCGTTCCACAGTTGCCCACCTTTCTGCACTCCCTGCGGCAGCCTGATGTCTGAACTTTTCGCTGAATGGGCGGGCGTGGGTTGACGAGTAGCTGCCAGTGCTGACAACTTTTGTTGGTCAACATAAATCAAGCTAACTAAACAATTTCTAACTGTTAAAAATTTGTCCTAGCTTGTTCGTAATTAAAAATATTTTTAAGGACTTAAGAATTCTTAATTATACAACGAATTTTAATTTCATATATGGCTAATTTATATATATTTTTTAATAAAATTAAAAATTAGTATTTTTAGCAAGGGTGGACATACGCGTAAAAATACAATTAGTTAAGTGGAACATCCCTTGAGATATTTTGATCCATTAAAAGCCAGAATTGGCCATACTCTAAGGTAGGAGAATAGGCATCAGTTTTGCCGATGGCTTTGCCAACTGCAAACCAACTTTTGGCAAAGTCGTTCGGGGCCTGGCATGTCCTCAAAAAATTGATTACTTTGTCGAGAGCGCAACAACGAGGTCCAGTTTGGTTCAGTGCGGTTCGGGTTGGCGTTTTGCAAGCTGTTGATTATGGCCACGGGGCATTAGCTGAAAAATAAATATTTACCTTTGAAATTATGAGGCAAAGTTTGCCAGCTTCTGGTATGAATCCAATGATTGTTGCATCAGCTCGGTTCGCTTCAAAAAGTTTGTGGTTTTTTTTTCTCGATTGCCAAACTAATTAAAAAGTTGATGAAGTTCGTCGCTTGAAATTACTTTTAAAGATTTAATTCGTTCGTTGAAAAGGGAGAGAGAGTGTTTGACTAAAAAGGACTTTTGGAAAGAGTTAGAGTTAATTTCTTCTAAGGTCGTCAAGGGCATTAAAATGAGAAAACGAACTGAAATGGCAACTAAATTAATCTGGCCTTGGTTAAGTAATTAACGGGGGTCCTAAGCAATGTAAACTTGAAATGTACTTTGTAAGCTTGGTAAACTTCTTTATCTTTTGTCTTAGCATATAAGGCTCCTTAGGGATCATATTTCTATGCAAGAAGTGCTTTAGTTCCTATAGTTCTTAGTTCACTGAAATGTATTTAAGTTATTTTAAACGCCATCTTCACTTTAGGGTTAAAGAATGTCCTTAGACAGTTCGTAAGTTTTAAGCTAAGAGCTGCTTAAGCCACTTTCTCCACTCGACCCCAACCGATTATCCCGCCCGCTGTGAAAATGCCAAATGCAAAAATTGTTTTTCAATTTCTTTTCTTTTCGTTTTCTTTTCAATACACGCAGCGGAACGAAGCTGAAGGAGTGGAAAGCGAACAGAACAGAGAACAACATTAGCATACAACTTTTCTTATTATTTTTTATGTGAAAAATTCTCCAAATTGCCGCTGTCGCTGTCGCTGGGAAAAGGGAAATGGTAAAGGAGTTTTCGTTATAACAGAGCGAGAGTGAGAGGGAAGAGCAAGCGTCAGCAACAAAACTGCAAACGGCCAAGGAAGCGGAAACGGAAAGCATACAACGCCAGACAAACGCCAAAGGAAAATTTCGTTTGCTCGGTGGTGTAACGAAAAGCTGTATCTCAGTATTTTGCATCTAAATCTTTAGCTCTATCTTTAGATGTATTTTTTGTATCTGGGTAGCTGTGTCGATGAGTCAAAGCCGATGGATGAAAAGTGAAAACCATCGCGAGTTGCCTTCAAATACATAATAATGACATGGAAGGAAATGATTTTCATTTGCCAGCCATCGCCTGATTGGAGTTACGGTTACCCAACTTCAGCTACAGTGAGAATAAAAGTTATATACCAAAAGAAAGAATATGAATTCGATATTCAAACAATTTAGATTCAAATATGGGATTTTATGGGTTGTCATTTCTTTCTAGATTATCTTAGTATCAGCATTACCCAAAAGATAACTTTTAAAACTGATTCCTGAAATCGTTTTTAACTTTTTTTTCAGTGCACAATACCAACTCCAGCTCCCGCTTCATTTGTCGCAAAGTTTTATTGAATTACTCGGGCGTGCCTCTAGTCGCAGACTGTCTATCTTTTCGAGTGGTTGGAGGATTTTCGCCGAACCGAAACTGTGTAGGAAGTTCGTCTTCCTTTTGATTATAACGCCTTTTGAAAATTCATTAAAAACTTTTTTTTTCCACTTTTTGCCGACGTTGTCAATCGATTAGCCTTCCTGCCTCCCGTTTTCCCAACCTAGAAAACAAAAAAAAAAAAAAACACCAACGACACCACCTGCATTCATTTATCATTTTGCACCGCCACTTTTCGTCGCTTGGCGCCTTTGACTTTGCCTTTGACTTTCTGCCAATTGTCATTATTCATCGCAAACTGTGTTTTGCTAGCTTCCACCTTCCATTTCCACTTACCACTGTGAGTTTTCCCTTTAGCAAGCGAAAGTTGGCCGAAAATTTCCCACATATGCCGGACACGGTGTGATTAATTGTCGCAAGTATGGCAGGCTGCCTATGTAGGTGTCCCAGCTAGAATCAAGTGAGTTTGGTGGGTTACTTCTGGTTATTTGTGTTGACGCTAAATTCTGCAGTCAGGGCTCATAAAACACTCGCAGAACTTGGTATTGGTAAGGGGAATTTGGGATCGAATGTCTGTACTTTAAGCGGGCCAATGACAAGTTTCCACTCATGTGATTTATAAACTTGGCTAATCAAGTGCTGTCGAACTGGTGTTATTTGAATTGTTGTCTCTGTCAGCATGGATAAATGAGTTTCTTGTAGTGGTTTTGGTATATCTTGGAAAATACTTCATGAAAATATGTTTGT